CAAATGATTAAACTCAATTATCTCAAAATAAAATTTATGTAAAAAAGGGCTGTTTTAATAGATAACACCCCATATACTGTAATTATATTCTGTACTTACAATAAGCAGTCTAAAAATTTAATTTAATTAATAGAGATTTTGAGTTTTGTACTAGGTATTTTGCTCAAAAGAGATATTGAAAAAAGTGGATACTTTGGTTAGTGTACTATGGTAAAGGGAGTATCAGAAATCAGCTGATTTTCTAGAGGGGGTCAAAAAAATTAAAATTATATATAAAAAGTATATGAAGACTTGACTAAAATTGAGGAGGTCAATTTTTGCCAAAATTAAATCAGCTAATTTATAGCGCTGCTCCAATTATAATAACTGTTTAGTATAGATTAATTTTATATTTATCATTACAAAGTTATATAATAAAAGTAGCTATTAAAAAAAATAAAGTATATTACAATAAAAGTAAGATATCAAAAAAATGATATATTACGATACACTTATATGAACTAACAGATAATTTGTAATAAATAAAAGTTGGTCATATAATTGTTTATTGATAACAATTATGTAAATTAGGAATTGATTATTGTTTTAAACTAATCAGGTTTTTAGGTTTTTATATAAAAAAAATATTTTTTAAAAATCTTGCTATTCTTAACTATTTTGAAAACAGTGATAAATTAAATAAAACTTGTATTGTAAATAATTTAAGCTTATAAAATTATCTTTTATATTATCTAATAAAAATTTTTTGATATTAAAATACTATATACATTATAAAGCTTATCAAAATATTTGTTAAGTATTTACAAAATCTTGGTTTAATATTTAATAAATAATTATTAAATATAAATATATTTGAAATATAATTATAAATATTTATTTAAAATACTTATAAAAAAAAAAAAAGTAAAAAAAAAATAAAATACTTATAAATATTTAAAAAATTAATAAACAATTTATTTATTATCTGGAGAAAATCTGCAAATTTTATAAATAATTTTATTATTGAGTTAAATATAGAGTATACTAGTATAAAACTGTTTTTTTATCTTTAAGAACCTATTTTTGAGCTTCTAAGCAAAATTATAAAGTTTATAAAAATATATTTAATAGTAATAAAGTAGTAAAATCTGTTTAGTAGTTTTTAAAATATTTTTAAAAACCTTTTGCTATTAGTACTCAAAACTTATCTATTATCTGAAGAATATTTACAAATTTTATAAGTAATTTTATTATTGAGTCAAATATATTTAATAGTAGTAAAAATAATAAAATCTGTCTAGTAGTTTCTAAAATATCTTTAAAAAACATTTGTCATTAGTGCTCAAAGCTTTTTATATTGTCTAAATATTTTTTAAATTTGAGTATTTCTTATACTTGTTTGATTTTTATTCATCAACTGATTATTTACATTTGTCAGTCAAAAATATATCTTGTGACTTTACAGAATCAATCTATTTGGGATCAATTTGTATAAAGTTTTACTATAATTGCATGATGCACAAAAACAATGATATTTGTAATATACTGTATTTTGTAGATGTATTTATAGATAACCCTTCAAAGTATATCTAGTGTCAGATACTGGACTGAATCATAAAACTATACTCTTACGAAGGCTAATAAAATTTTTTCCATTATCATTTGACATTGCTTATATTACACTCAAGATTATTAAATGGAGAAACAGAACTAGTGAGTTTTCAAAGTAACAACCAAACTGTAGATGTCAGATTTAATTCATTGTGGCTTAATATACTCCGATTTGAATTATCGAAGCGAAAACTATAAATGTGTGCCTAAATTATTTTTGAAAAAAATTTGAAAACATTTCGGCATTGTCACGTTTTTCATACAAACTCTCCAGAATAACTATAATGTATGACGTATTTTGATGAAAAGAGTTCAAATATTTTGGCAATAATTTTGGCAACACTAATAGACTAATTTAGCTGACTAAATGCTATAATAATTCTTTATTAGGATGGTCAATTTAGGCATATATACAACTTTATAATCTTACTTGCCACTTTGATGAATATCAGAATGGAATATTAAGCTTTATAAAATGCCAGTAATTCTGAATATAACTCTTTTCTTCGTTCACTAGTTATTAAAAACTTATTAATAGCTATAACATATCAAGATATACCTAAACTATGCAATCTAGTTCTGCAAAACGTTATTTTTGATAACTTTTGATTCATACTTTTCTTTTCGATAATCATGGTTCACATATCATTTAACTTAAATTAGCTGAACCTGATGTTTCTTCAGCATCTGCGAGATTAGGCGGATCTACATTCAGTGCTTCAAAAACTGCAAAGTAAGGAGAAGCAATAGCGTATGTGAAATGTGCTGTTATCCATGCCGCGTGGAGGATACCAAGAGCTTTTCCTTCTTGATCGATAACACTTGCTCCAGAATCTCCGAGTTCAAAATCTCCAGGTCTGAAACAAAATACTAATTGTCGATCAAGCCATACAGTAGGATAGCATTGCTGACGTTTTTTATTTATTTCTTGAATCAGTGATGCCTTCATATATCCAATGAAGCTTGTTTTGTCAGTGATCTTACTAAATGGTGGAATTTCGCCTTGCGTTTTTGCAAATTCAATACTTTCGTTTGTTACTTCAATGGATATAGCATTAATGATAGGAACCAATTTTCCACGAGTGAGTCCTGTAGTTTTTCCTACTTTAAAAACATCGAATTCATCAATGTCATCAAACATTTCATATGTATAAAAGCCACTTAGACAAGTATTTTCAGGAAGTTTTGCTTGTTTAAATTGCTCTGGGAAAATTGAAAATTTATTTGGACATAGCGTACGATCACTGTTTGCAAAAATACAAAATGCAGCATCAATACCAAAATCCTTTTGATGTATTTTGGAAGTGAAGTTGTTTCGGATGCCATGTTTATAGTAAGCTAGGGCTGAATCCCGTTTTGTCTTGTCAATTTGAGCACACGTATCTTCAGAGATTTTTTTATATGCGTTATCTACATTTGCTAATTCAACAAATGACTTTTTCAATTTATCTAGATCTTCGTGCGAAGGCTGATTGATCATAATATTTGTTCCAGGACACAAATTGCTAAATCTACATACATGTTCACACGAGATGATACCTAGTTTTGAGTCTTTATCGTACGCAACAGCACCGAGAGTTCCAGACGTTCTCTGAGGTTCCGTTATGCCTATGCTCGAACCTAACATAACATCCTTTTGATAAGCTTGGCAAGTACTCACACCAATACCACAGGGAGTTGCAACGCAAGCTTCGACAATATCTACCGGATATCCACGAATCTCAGCCGGGAATACAGGACATCCACGGCGCAGAATTCCCTTCTGACGAACATACAATAGAATGGCCGGGTCTTCACTAAACTTATGTTTAGTTCGTCTATAACCAGTGCTCATACCGACCAAGTTGTAGTGTTCCTCACGGAACGCTGGCCCCAGTTCATTGTTCAAGGCGTCATCGAAGGCCTCCTGTAATTTTTGTGGGACTTTTTTTCCGGGTCGGTAAAGGATCATGGGGGCTTTGTGGTGGAATTTCGGCATGGATAAATCCTTTTGCTTCAGGTATGAAACAAATAATTTGGCCTCCCACAACTTCTGTTTTTTCGCAAATAAAATTACGAATAACCACATATATACTCCACGTTGTTTCACAAGAGTGAATATTTTTGCCCCAGAATATGTCTACAACATCATCTTGTGCATATAACTGACAAAGGCGATTTTCGAGATCATCGTTCCAAGGAACTACATCAGTTATAATTTGAGATTCCATGAAGTTTTTTTCGGAGGTTGTATTATCCTCCACTCCTAAGAAAATCAATTTGAGTATTATGCCGAACA